AGTTCATAGCTCTCATTTAATTTGAAATGCATGCGCACGTTAAAATGATGTCCCTAAGATATCATACATAAAAAAACTGCAAGTTGAGCGATGTGCTCTTCTTTCACTAAAATCATTCCCCAGAATAGCAGAAACTGTGCGATGTCTGTGCATTCGGCACCGGTGCCAACCATTTAAGTCAACGAGTTAAGGACACTTGAAATTAAGGGAAAAAAAGAAGCGTTGCAGAAGAAGGTTTTAATTTTGAGGGAAAGGCTGATAGTGTAGAAGAATTTCCAGAAAACTTAGAAGTTGACTACCTTCTGAAATCACTTGGAAACTCAAAAGGCTTAAGCATCAGATAAGCAAGTTCATCCACTTAGAAACCCTCGTTCGCACATATTTGAATAGATCTTGAATTAAATGAGTAATGAAATCTTAGAGCAAAACATTTTGACTCCGCAGAAGCCAACTTCTTAGAAAGGGGGACACTTTGCTTTTATTTTTTCTGAAGGAATTTGCAGTTGCCGTTTAACAAATTTGTATTGAATTTTAGTTCAACTTTATAAGTGAGGGACTTACAAGGGAAAGATACTTGGCCGAAGTGGCGATTCAAAAGGGATGCATATCGTTACAGATAGTTCAAAACGTGAGTTCAAATTTACCTCCCATATTTGCAAAGAGCTTTTCTAGAAGAAGTTATGGAAAGTTTCCTCTACCAATGGCTTACAGGACCTGGATCAAAATGCTCTAAAGTTCAAACTTGACCCAAAACAGCAGCGCGAAGGCTGATTAGATTTTAAAAAATATGTCTTTATAATAAAATTAAACCATTTGCTTGTTGTTTCTGGTTGAATTTGATGTCGTAGAAAAGTTAATGATGAGGCGCACAGGCTAATTTGAACATAGAAAAGCTTCCATAACTTCTTCCAAAGAAACGCTTCGCAGATATGGAAGGTAGCCTTGGCATCAGCTTTTGAAACTGCATCTATCAGTATGCATCACTTTTTATATCGCTACTTCGACCAATTATCCTTCCCCTGTTAGTACTTTTCACATTTACTACGAGCAAAGCAATTTTTGAGTATTGCAATCGCTCTAGTTTGGGTAACTCCATATCTATTGTGGTTCTCTTTA